ACACACCCACATTCCCACACACACCCACATCCCCACACACACCCACACCCGAATGATTCACAGTACATTTATAAAATACTAAGTGTGATTCCCATATATCATGGAGAATATGAATGTCTCACTTGAACGAATAAAAATCTATTCGACTTTCGCCAGTATACGTACTGGATATTCGTCAGTATATCTCTTGGAAATTCGCCAATTGGTGAAAGTTCAATAGACATTCACCAATATATCTGTTGGACAGTCGCCAATTGGCGAAGATCCATTGAACTTTCGCCAATACATTCCGTGGAATTTCGCCAATTATTGGCGAAAGTCAAAATTGGCGAAGTTCCGGAATCCCAGTATCAACATTGATCTTTTGAATGATGACAAATTCCATCTTTCCACCAAATTACTCGTTCTTACTAATGATTTGTTTCTGTCGTGATAATTATAAATCATTACGATTCATCGTAAGGTTATAATAAGAAATCATCGCCTGTAAAATAAGTCCGGCGTTGTCTGTCACTATTGATTCATTCATTGGAGAAATTGTTGCTTCTGGATATCCTTCTGATACAATACAATCGATTAATCGTTCAAATATTTTTTTCTTCAATTATTCTGGTGCTGTTATTGTAATAAATTGTTTAAGTAGTATTTGGGAATCATAAAATATATCGAGTTCAAATCCAAGTATTGATTCTGCTTCTTCTTCAGAAACATTTGAAAATGAAGTTTTTTGTATTTTTTTTCGCTTTGAAGGTGTTTCTGTGTCAGCCATTTAATGTAAATCTAAACAGCAAAAAAAGTTTGACCTGCCATTCTGAAAATCCTCTTATCACTTACAACAATTACCAATATTGTAATGTTCGTTTCAAATTTAAAAAACAATATTCTTAATCGTCTTGATCGATGTGATTTGTTATTCTTCTTCGAGTGTTGAACAAAAAACAGCTGAAATGATCAAGAGAAAGAAATTTTTTCTCTTCAATGAATCGCATATCGGTGTAGACCAATAATTCTTACTGGTGATAGAAGGTGCCAATGTTCGCTAAATTGTGATCATCTTTCCAGATATAAAAATGTTCTATTTAACCTGATAAGCTTTTATTAACTTTAGTTTTCTTGTTCATTTTTGGTCACAGTATTGTCACTTCGTTGTGAAATGAGTCAATGCAATATATGCTATTTCGAATTTAGAGTTTGCACATAGAATAATATATGAGAACTAGAGACGTGTGAGTATAAGTGTGCAAGAAGAGAACATCCACAACCAAAAGCTTTAATTCGAATTCCGAAAAATCTTTAAATCTTGATCACGATTTGATTCTACAGAATTGGAATGGAAATAAGTCGTTCACTTATTTGATTAATATACAAGTTTCCTGCTATCAACATATCACAGAGATCGACTTCGGATACCAAAATAAAAATAATCGCAGCCAGTCATTGGACGAGTACAAGTACAGCAATTATAAGTAAAATACTGGATAATTAAAAAATGTACTTTGTACTTTACTTAAATACTTATTACTTGAGCACATTTCAGTCAGTAGCGGTACTATATAGGATTATACTCAAGTAAAAAGTGTTCAAGTACATTAGAGTACTTAGAGCCATAATGAAGCGTAGCTGTACATTTAATACATTGATGTCGATGTTAGGATGTGTGATACACACTTAATGTCTACAACTTAGCGACATCTTTAGAAAAATGTATATGAATAATCATTCTCACGATATTTTAATCTCTGTTGTAATTATTAACATAAATTATTGATTGAATCGCATCATAATCATATGTAACAATAGTTAATATAGAGCAGCCGGAAGCCTAATATCCTCAAAGCATTGATTGGTATATGATAGATCACAAAGAGTTCTATTGATTTTCAATATCAAATTACACATAAAACTGTTTATTAATTTTAAAATCATTTTTCAATCAAGTACCCATTTTCATTTAAATCTCAATTAATTAATCAATGGCTAGTGAAAATGGAGTAAACTTTTTGATTTCTCGTTTTCTGATAAAAGCCGAGTAAATGGATATTGTAAACTATGTCATAAAAACTATAAACCAAGGAAATTTTGAAAGACATGAATTTATAGTGTGTAGGTTGAAATATTATGAATATTATGTAGATATTTCTGAGAATGTAAAGTAGTAATGTGTAAGCATATGTAGTTATCCGATTAAAGTACATTTTGTACTTAAAGTACTGGCACTTCAGTAAATGAGTACAAATTTTGGTACTTCAGTAACATCTTTCAATACAAGTAAATTTACTGATACTATTAGAATGTATTCAAGTAATCCTGAATACTCAGTAAAAGTATAAAAAACACCAAGTATTTTACTGAGTATCCAATCACTGATCGTAGCATATGGATAGTTATATAATTGATAACGGATGTTTTTTTTCTTGAAGTTACAAGATACTCTGAAGTGAGTATTGACATTAGGCCTGAAACATCAAAATCAATAATAAGAAAATATGCAGTTTCAACAGCAGTTAACAATTCATGTCCAACCATAAATATAAATTGAAAGCATAAACAATAATAATAAACGAACAACATCTGATATTATAATTGTGCGATATGATAATATTACCTTAGAACATGAGTTCTTCATGTTTTCCTTTTTCTTTTTGTTTTTTTTGGTATTTTAGACATATAAAAGGTCTTGTATCTCGTGATTGGAAAGTGATGAAGGTCTAAAATTTTCAATATAGATAGAAGTCACAAAGATCTATATATATATATATATATTAATAATTTCACTTCGCCATCACTTTCCAATCATGAGATACAAAGCCTCAAATTTGCTTAAAATAGTAAAAAAAGAAAAAAACGTCCAGAAGTTCTGTTCTAAAGTAATATATCAGTTTCGACTTGTCCAATAAAAAGATCTTTATTTAATAATTGATGTGATATAAGTGAACTATGACATAATGATTGAGTTTCATCATTTATTAAAATAAAAGATAATTTACATAATTCTTTAAGAATTTCAAATTGATTAAATGCTGTTTTACGAAAATCGACTAGATAGTGTGTGGGGGTGGGGGTGGGTCTGGGTGTGAGGTGTGCTTGTGGGTGTGGATGTGGTCCTTCTTTTAACTCATGTACACTTACACCCACACCCACATCCATATATCAATATCCACACTCACACCCACATCCATATATCAATATCCACACCCACACCCACTTCCATATATCAATATCCACACCCACACCCACATCCATATATCAATATCCACACCCACACTCATACACCCGCACCCACATCCATATACAGGGTGCCCCATAAGTTGTGGCAGATTTTTTCTGAATCTAATTTTTGATGATAATGAATACAAATCAAACTCAAACTTACATATATCATACAACTTAACATGTACTTTTATTTCGTATATTTTATTTAAATTAGATAATTGGATATATAAAAAAAATAAACTTAACATACATACATAGCATTTTTTACAGTTGTTTTTTTTTTGCATATTTTTTTGATTTTTGAAATCAAAGCGTGATTACGTAGTAATTTTTACGGTGCAAGTGCAGAAAAAGTACAGGATCAATATACATATACAAAGACAGAACAGAAGAAAATAATTATTGACTAATAAACACACCACTATTGAACGTGTATATTGAGTGTGTGCTCATTCTGTACATGTACCATTTTTACTTTGATAAATTAATTTTACTTAAAATTACTATTAGTTTCAATATTTACAATGGTAAAAAATGCCGATTATCAGCTTCGTACAAATATTTTGGCTTTACATAACTTATATCCTAGTTGGCCAAACCGCCGAATTGCTAGTGAATTGCAAAATTCTGAAAATCCTCCATCAAAACCAAGATATTTAATACTGAAAATCATTAAACAAACTATTGAACGTGGTACAGTAGAAGATAGACCAAGATCTGGTAGAAAGAGAACAACACGTACAGCACAATTCAAGCAGAAAGTACAAAAATTTATTTACAATAAAAAAAAACCGATCTACCAGAAAATGCAATGATTTTTTAAAACGAAAAAATATTAAAACATCAAAATCAAGCGTATGGCGTTTATGTAAAGAATCAAAATGGAAATTTTTTCGTCTTAAAAGATCACAGAAACTTACGGCAACTCATAAAGCAAATAGAGTGACAACATGTCGTATTTTACCCCAAAAATATGGAGTAAATCGAAATGCCAAAAGGTTTCAATGGCGTAAAGTATTAAATACAGATTTCAGTGGTAGTATACGTTTAATAAGACCAAATAATAATAGAAATGATGGAATATGGGCTGCAACTGCTGATGAAATTGATAGTGATAATCGTAATGCAGGTGTACAAAAATTTTCTGCAGGTGTTATATTGTGGGGCGGTATTAGTGATGATGGTTTGTATCCACGTAATGCACCATTTTATTTCAATGAGTGGT